TGTTGCATTGAATAAGTTCTAATAAAAAAAGTAAGTTTTCTCTGAATATGTCTGCTAAAACAACGTCTACAGTTATACCTCTCTCTCTAAGAAAATCAAAGCTATTTGTGTATTTCTTCCTTGAAGCTTACCAAAATACAATCCTAAGTGTTAAGAGGGAAAAAATATTTTATATTTGAGCTTCATCAACAAGAGAAAAGATTAGAAATAAGAAATGTCTCCAAATTAATTGACAATATTTGCTTTTTAATTGAGTAATTTGACTTATTCATCACTTTCATTCAAACAAAATATGTATGAAACATCTATAAAATCCTATTATAATAACATTCTAATCATGTAACAATATTTGATAAACATGTTATAAACTAATATATAAAAAAAATAAAAATATAAACACAAGCTAAACACCATATACAACTTACCAAAACCAACATCCATTGTGCATTAAACAAATAAACTAACAACCAAAGCCTCCACATAAATGATTTAAAGTAGGAAAACACCTAAGACAAGCCAAGAAAAAGTTCAGCCATGGTAGAAGAACGCTTGGCTGAACCTCCAACTTGATTTCAATAATGGATTTTGTGTATTTGATCACTTGATTCTTTAGATTTCAAATCCAACTATGATTTAGTTGGTTGAATTTTGAACCAAAGATTGAATAAAAAAAAAACTATAATCTTTCAAAAAAATTAAAAAAAAAAAGAAAACTAATATGAAAATATTATAAAAATGTGATGAGAATGTAATGAAATACAAGAAAAGATAATAGACATTCTACCTTCCTTTAAGCCTCCTTCAACTTTCATTTTTTTCCCTTTTTTCTTAGGTTTTTCTCCTCCTCTATTTCATGTGCAGCTCTTCCTCTTTTTTGCTTAAACAATGACTTCCCACATGGAAAATAGTACCCTAAGATTGAATGTTAGCCCTTAGATTATAAATGCATTTAATCGTCCAAATTATTCCTTTATTTTCTTTGCAAGAATCTAGTTTTCACCATTGGATTAAAGTCCCCAATATCATCCTATGGTCCAGAATGTTCATTGCTAAAAATTGTAATTTTAATATTATTGGGTTTAAGTGAAAAGACCATTTTACCTCTATTATAAAATTTTTTATTTCTAGGCATTTTCTTTGAAATTAGAGCTTTCTTTTTTTTTGTGATTTTAAAACACCAAAAATCATAAAATAATATAAAAATGAGATTTAAAAATTTTTGTGAAAAATCGACCTCGAAAAGATTAAATTATAAAATTATCCTTAAAAGGTATTTTAGTAATGTAATACATTTTAAGGTACGATCAAGATTTTTAATGTTTCAAAAATCATCACATACTATTAAATCATAATCTGAAACTTTTCGTGAAATTTTAACTTTATGAAGGTCAAATTACAAAAATACCCATTAAGGCATTTTTGTAAGGTATTTTCGTAATGTCACACCTCCCAAGGTGTGACCCTTTTTTTAATGCATCAAAAGTTATTAAAAAATATTTAATTATGATCTTAAAGTTTTCACGAAAATCCAACTTAGAGAAAGTTAAAGTACAAAAATACCTCGAAGGCTATTTTAGTAATTTTGCCTTTATAAAAGTGCAATCAAGGTTTTTAGTACTTTTAAACCACAAATCTCAATTTTAAGACACACTAATTCCAAAAGTTTATGAATTTTAAAAATTAACTTGAGTTTAATTCGATTTGACTAGGTTGACCAAATTTAATTTTTGGGTATTTGGGTCAAATTGGTCTAAATTTTGAATTTAAAACTTTGTCAAAATTAAAAAACTATTGGATTGGAACTGGGTTGGATTTTAAGGGCTTTACAAATTATTAGATTTTATCCAGATAAAATTAGATATTTACAACTACCTTTTTTTACATATTCTTGAAAATAAAAAATAATGCAAAGCTTAAAAACAACAATTTTGTTTATGATCGATGGCTAAAAGGGTTTTGCTTGTATGTGCTTGTTTGTTTACATGTTGGACAAGTTTTTTTTTTTTTTCCCCAAGGGCAACGAATCTTTAAAAATTTTGTTTCGAAAAAAGTTACTATGAAGATAGGTAACAAATTTTAAAAATCTCATTTTAAAAATGGCTCGTATGAAAATAGGTAATGAACTTTAAAAATCTCATTTAGAAAAGGCTTTTATAAAAATAGGCAACAAACTTTAAAAATTCATTTTGAAAACGACTCATATAAAGATAGGCAACGAAATTTAAAAATTCATTTTGAAATTGACTATTATGAAGATCGACAATAAATTTTAAAAATCTCATTTTGGAAAGAGTCCTATGAAAATAAGCAACGAATTTTAAAAATCTCATTTTGAATATAGCACCTATGAAAATAGGCAACATACTTTAAAAATCTCATTTTGGAAAGGTTTTTGAAATTTTGATTTTGAAAAAGTTTTGCAAAATCTTATTTTGAAAAGTTGGGTTTCATCTGAGGCATTGAAAATGATTTCTTTCTTCCTTAAAGAATTCTACCTTGTTCTTTGGTTTCTTCTTTTGTTTCTTCTTGAAAAATGTTCATTCTTCAAATGTATTTATTTTCTCTCAAAATCAAGTTCATTTTGTATGTAATGTATGTGATGAATGCAAGGAACATAGTGCATGTAATTCAAATATTTTGTTTATATCATGTTCTTATACTTGTGATACCAAGATTTTCATGACCTAATTTGCTTTCAAGTTCTTGATTCTTGGTAAGTTCTTGGCAATTAATCATTATTTTCCTTGATTAAAACCATTTTTCTAGATCCAAATCTTTTTTTCACCTTTTATTTTCTCCCTTTCCCTTAATTTTTTCATTAGTTTCTAGCCAAAGACATTTTTTCTTCTTTTCCTTTATTATCAATATTCATCATTCATTTTCATTTATTCACCAGCATTCATCATTTGTTCATTTTTTCATTATTGTCCCATTCCTCTTTTTTCATCACTTTTCATCCTTCTATTCATCATTTTTCATTTTTCATTCATTTACCCATGATTTTTATTTTGTTTCTTTTTTCTTTCTCTTGCCTTTTTTTGTATTTTTGTTGGATTTTTTCTTAATTAATGTCAACTTCATTGGGCTTAATGATCTTTTCAAGATGACAATTAAGGCTTAAATATTATTAGTGCCATTTAGATTGAATTTAATTTTCATCAGTGTCAATTAAATTAAATTTATTTTTGCTCGATGCCAACTTATCTTAACTTAATTCTTTTTTATATCAACTAACTTGGGCTTATATATGGACATGATTAATTTGAAAGGGAACTAAAAAGTATTATGGGATAAGAACATACAGTGGAATGACTGGAAATTTTAAACCAAAGGTCCCTATCCCCTAAACACAACAATTTGAATAGGTATTGACCCAAAGCCTTTTTTATTATATTGCTGCTGGGGTTGCCAATGTATATTGGTAGCTAGCACCATGGTGTGAGGCATGGGCTTTGTCGTGGATAATAATTGCAACGATTGTACCTGGGCCTATCCTCTTTCATCTTGAAATTACATAAATATTACCAAATTCGGCTGAATATACACTAAATGGTTGGCTCAAATAATAAAAAATTGTGTTCCTTATTTTATTGTGTAGATTTGAATTTATTGAAAAATTATAAAAAAATAATTTTTTTTATGAATTTGTTAAATGTAATATAAATAAATTTATTTAGATAATTTCATAGAGAAGATATACAAGTCCATGCTTAATAACTTGCCGCTTAATAAAAGAAAGAAATACAAAGAGCCTGCAAGTCTTGTTATACCACTTTGTGTAAATAGGACTGCCTAGCAATTTTGCTTGATATTTCCTTGCAGAGGCCATTGACAAGTTTTGCCACTTCTTTGTTGTTACCTAAAGAGTGGTGGAGAACCCCTTTGTGATAAAGTTCCATATCATGAGCTGAGTTAATTAGGCCATCAAAGAATAACAAAAACTATGGTACAGATGGTTTGCACTTTGAATGGCATTGTTCATAGGCAACAACCATGTTACGAAATCATCAATGTACAGAGGAGGGATTTTCGCCCACCTTTCTTCACACTATACATCCAATGGACGACAATTAACACTTTTTCTCAATGACAAGAGGAACCAGCTTCCATTAGCTCCGTCATTGACCGCATACTCACATGGGGAGGGAGGCTTGATATTAAATTAATAAGTAGATGATATTATAATACCCTTAAATTTATATTTGAAATTTGCATAGATAAACCAATTATTTTATCTTCTTATTATTTCTAAAAACTGGAATTTATATTTATAAGGAACTAGTACTTTAATAACAAAATAAAAATAATATTATACCTATCTAAAATAATAACAAAATAAAAATAATATTATACCTATCCAAAAAATTTGGGATTGGTATTTTACTCATAAAATGGGCGGGCAGATAAAAAAATTTACATTTTTTTATTAGACCTTAACAGAAAGTAAGATAATGCGGGAATAAAGTTGCTAGCATAACGAGAATTGCAATTTACACATTAGCCTTGCCTTCAATATATGATCTCTCATTCGAAACAGACATTGAAAGCAAGTGCTTCATGCTAATAAATTGAGAGAAAGGGATCTATAACGACAAATTTGACATACAAAATGTTTTTCTGGCCATATGTTCTTTAATCAGAGGAAAATAGATTTAAGAAATAAGAAAAAAAAGTATTGTTTAAAAAAATATTACTTAAGGCAGACTGATCAATATTCCGATAATTGCCTGGACACGTAATAAGTTTTAATTGTTTGGTAATAATAGAAAAAAAAAAAAAAAAAAAAGCTCTAAATGTGAAATTTCCATCATTGAACCGTAAATGAAATTAAGCCGCACTTGATAATAAAAAAAATGTGTAATATTTAATTTATAATAAAAATAGTATCAAAAACTTAATTTTATGTAATTTTTTTAATTTATTTTTGACTTCTCTCTTAAATTATTAATTAATTTCAGGCTTTTTACAAACTGACAAATTTCGTTGTGAATATTATATTTCAGCAAAGTCATAATTCATCAAAATTATTAAAAAAAAAATCATCCTCTGTCTTGTAAGCCACATACAAACGATCATCCCAACAAAACATTGAAGTGAAAATACATAAATGATCATTCCAAATCAATGCAATTAAAGAATCAGATAGCCAAAAATTGCTTTGGCCTTCAATTCAAGAATCTCCTCTTCTTCCCTCTTCAAATATATCCCAACCCAAGTAAGCTGAACTGCACAAAGTTGATGAGAATCTGTTCGATATTGGCGTAATTCAACTTAATCAAAGACGAGTAAAGATAGTGTAAAGGGTGCGGCTGAGGTCGGTCTGGCCTGCCGCCCTTGAAACAAGGAAATAAAGGCCTACTTGTTTTTAAAAGGATGAAAACTAGAAAACCATCTGCAAGATCCTCTTCACCTTCTTCTTCGTCTTCTCCCTCAGTTTCTCCTCACTACGCAACTACTTTAACTCAACAACAAACTCTTCCTTTATTTTCCAATATGGTGCGAAAATCCTCTCTTTTCAAACAAACCCTAATCGCCACCCTTGTCTTCCTCCTCGCCATCTACGCTTTGTTCACCATTTTCTTCCACACCCCTCTCCCTCCCTCCGACCCTTCTTCCGACGACGACGACGTCGAGATTTCTTCCCGTGATAATCTCAATTTTCCCCTCAAACAAATCGACGGCTCTGGTATTGCCAAGAAAGTCAAAGTCTTTATGTATGATCTCCCTCACAAGTTCACCTACGGCATCATCCAACAGCACGGCCTCGCACGTGGCGGATCCCCCGTTGCTGACGTCACCAGCCTCAAATACCCCGGTCACCAGCACATGCACGAGTGGTTCCTTTTCTCCGACCTGGTTCGACCCGAATCCGACCGCCTCGGATCCCCTATCGTTAAAGTCACTGACCCCGAGGAAGCCGACCTTTTCTACATTCCCGTCTTTTCTTCGTTGAGCTTGATTGTTAACGCGGGTCGGCCCCCGGGTTCGGGATCGGGTTATAGCGATGAGCAAATGCAGGAGGAGCTGGTAGAGTGGCTCAAGCGGCAGGAGTATTGGAAGAGGAATAACGGGTGGGATAACGTCATAATTGCGGGGGATCCTAATGCACTTTATCGGGTCGTGGATCGGGTAAAAAATGCTGTTTTGTTAGTTGCGGATTTTGGCCGGTTGAGGCAGGATCAAGGGTCATTGGTGAAGGATGTGATAATCCCTTATTCGCATCGGATTAGCGCTTACACGGGAGATTTTGGGGTCAAAGAGAGGAAAACCTTACTCTTTTTCATGGGTAACCGATATAGAAAAGAGGTAATCAAATAGTTCATTACAAGAATTCTTGAAATTTTATGTTATTGTTTAGCAGGTTATGATGCTTGTTTCCTTGTTAAGTTTCTTATGTTTTTAGATTATTATTATAGAATTGGAGGTTTTAGTATGCTATATGGATTCAATTAGCTGGGTTAAGATGTGCTGACCTCAATTCAAGATTTAGATTAGGAAATCAAGGAAAAGAGAAAAAAATTTTGGAGTAATTTCTAAGCACATTCTGCTTGCTTATACCCTGGTATAGTTTATACAGGCTACTGAAAATGAAGTCATTGCTCTAAAATCTAATTGAGATTCATCTTCAACTACTGTTTTCACTGCTCTCCTAAAATTGGGCTTAATTTGTCCGTTGCCTACCTCATGCTCATCACCGCTACTGTTTAATTTATCATAATTTGCTATGTTGGCTTAACCAAAAGATCCTGCTCTTGCTTGGAATGATTTTTGTATCCAACCGGCAACTGCCCTGTTGATTACAAAGTTTTTCCCTATTTGCTGGCTTAAATGCCAGTACTTTACTTTTTTATTAAGAATTATAGTACGGCTCCTCAGAGATGCAGATGTTAGTTTGAAATCACATTCTATTCTAAAGCAGATCCCACATGATTGACTAGCATACTATGACATATGATAGTAGCACTTGCAGGATAATCATTTTAAGTGGACTTATATTGGTTATTTGATTTTTTTTTTGTGGGCCCTTTTATGATGATGATTTTATTGCAGGGAGGCAAAATTCGTGATTTGCTTTTCCAGATACTTGAAAATGATGAGGATGTCGTAATAAAACATGGAACACAATCCAGAGAGAACCGAAGAGCAGCTTCACACGGGATGCACACGTCAAAGTTCTGTTTGAATCCTGCAGGCGATACTCCATCAGCTTGCAGACTCTTTGATTCTATCGTTAGCTTGTGTGTCCCAGTGATAGTCAGTGATAGCATTGAGTTGCCTTTTGAAGATATTATAGACTACAAAAAGTTTTCAGTATTTGTGGAAACTGCAGCTGCACTAAAACCAGGATATCTTGTTTCATTGCTGAGAAAAGTACCTGCAGAGAAAATAATTGAATATCAGAAAGCAATGAAAGAGGTTTGTACTATTTTCATTTCCTTAGTTTTCTATCATTCTCATTAAATAACTCCATTAATGAGAAACAATAACGTTGATTTTCATGTATAAAATTAACAACTTCAATCCAACTGCATCTGTTCAATATATATCTTTTGGTAAAATTGCTTAGCAATGATATGGTTTTGCTTTCTAAACTCTGACCTTGTGTTAACTTCCAGTCAGTTACATATGTTCACCAATGATATTTGTTTTTTGAAGAATTTTCCTCGTTAAGAGTTATTGGTATCAATTTGTTTCTGTTTCTGTGCTTGTGCCTTGCAGTGTGTAGTCTGTCATGCATGCAAAAGGCAGAAATAGAAAAGAGCATCATCCTCTTCTATTATTTTATGGTTGAGTCATGTGCTGTGATCTCCTCGAATTATTCTCTGTTACCTCGATAGATTCTTGTAAATTGGACCTAGTGAACATGAACAGAGTCTGAATGGTGGGCTGAAGTCTGGTGGTAAAGTTTTGGCAACAATTCTAGGAGAAAGGGTTATGTTTATTCATGTCTGTGTAAAAGTGTGAAGAAGAGATATGAAGTGGACACCGGGCTGGAGCGTCGTAGTAGAATGCTTAGTTGGTTTTCTTTTTCATTTGTTCTCATGCATCATTACATAGTTTTCAGCAATCACAAAATCACAGTTTTAATCTAAATGTCTGTTAACTGAATTCTGTTCTTAATTTAAATTTTGTGGATGCAGGTGAAGCGGTACTACGACTATACTCATCCAAATGGAACAGTTAATGAAATATGGCGCCAAGTCTCTCAAAAGCTAGCTCTTATAAAACTTATGATTAATCGTGACAAGCGGCTTGTCAAGAAGGATTTGAGTGAACCAAATTGCTGCTGTCTTTGTTCAAACCAGACAGGAATTATCAGCTCCTTACGATAACAACTTTAATCTTTTTTGTGATCCTTGATATTCATCTGTCAAATGGCTTTCGCTGAATATCAATGAGAAGATGCTGTACCGGACCATGTCAGGCTTGAGGAATAATTTATGATACCCATTTGCCTTTAGGGTGAGATCTTCCCCCACTCGTAGAAGGGCTTCTTACATACGTTGTTGTAGAGTAGATTGAGGTTTTGATTATAGTTGAAATTGTCATTGATTTGTACATGATAGAAATAAAAATATAAGTGATGCTTATTCTTTGACGAATTAGTATTTGATATATTGTTAGTATAAAATTTTAATTTCACATGTTTGATATTAAAAAGTTAATACATATTTTATTTATATTTTTAATTAATTTTTAAATATATTCTCAAAGATACGTGTAATCTTTTTACTTCACTTGTGGTGCTTTCTTTTAATTAAAAAATCAAACAGTAGATGTAAACTCTCTGTTTGGTTGGTTTCCTAATGACTAAAAGGCTTTATGTTCTATGGTTTTAGCTAAAGAATCCTTTATAGAACGTCTGAGTACAAATTGCATGTAATCTAACGCGATTACAAGATTACAACCACCGGAGCCAACGCCAAGCGCTCCATACCTGATCTTATGGAAATGGAAGAATTAATTCACATAAATAAGGAAAAAGCCAAATTTCTCATCTCTTCAAGGTCTTAGATTCAAAGTACATTAGGCCATTTCCAACCTTAGAAATGAAAATGTAAAAGAAGAGGATAGTAAAAGAGAGAGCACAAAGTAAATAGAAGACATAAAAGTTCCGGTATACATCTGCTTTAACTCTTTAACCAGGTGGCCATTTCATCTGTCTCCCACCTAGAACATGCAGGTGAAGATGATATACTGATTGACCTGAAAAGGGGGAGAGAGAGAGAGAGAGAGGTATAAACATGAGTATGAACTGCAAAACAAGTTAAAACTAAGGAGACAAGATGATAACTCACAGGCACTTGGACCATTATTGATAACAACTCGAAAACCATCAAGAATGCCTTCTTTCTCAGCAACCATTCTGGCGGCATAAAGAAGTTGACCCAGTATCTCTCCATGCCTTTGTTCAGCCTGACAAGTTATAAACCAGAAATTAAAAGGAGAAAAGTTTTCCATCTAGGAAACTTGGAAAAGAATATCTACAGGGCAGCAATCTCCAATTACACTCTTAAAATCCAAAAGAGGTTTATGGATCTGGCATGCAAATAATTCTTTTCAGGTTCATCTGACTCAATCACCCATGGTTAAAATGCAGAGAAGCAGCAAAGGTAAACTTAATCAATTAGAACAGCAAAATTCATATAATATATTCAGATGGTCCAGCCAAGTCATGCAACACAAAATACAACAAATTAGATAGATATAGGTCTAGAACACACCTTTCCAAGCTGTGTCAATCCATCCCTACACTTTGGAATGACTAAAACATGAACAGGAGCCTGTGGATTGATGTCCTTGAATGCTAAGACTTTATCATCTTCATACACAATGGTTGAAGGAATTTCCTTAGATACGATCTTGTCGATACTTGAATGAAAGGGAAAAAAGAATCAACTATTAATACAATAGTTAAATAGCATAAACCCCTGTACCTTTTTTTCAACTTAATTCAAGGATTTTAATAGTAAGCAACATTCTGTTCTCCCCGTTCTTCCATATCTCATAGAGAAGTTAGCTGCATAATCAATTCTTTATCTATAACCTATGTGCCCCATTTAACGATACAAATAGCTTGCTTAGAACTTAAAATTTATTCCCAAAGTTCTAATTTTTTTTCTAAAAGTTGTATTAAAAGGGAGATGAAACAAAATCCATAAATTCAACAAAATAATACATAACAAATTCGGCGCTGGAACTGGAATGTGAAATCAAACCAGGGTCTTATGGATGTTACATGGTTGGTGCTCCACTATCAGCATTGATTGCTGCTGCCTTTGCTACAGCCTCTTCATCATGTGAAGCACTAGCACGACATAGATATCTACATAGAATGATTCAGAGATATGAAGAAAGGCCAATAGAGAATTAACATAAAATTTTACCGATTTTCTTCATTTCACTTATTTTCTAGACCACAAAAAGAAACTGAAAAAACAACAATTACAAGCCCAATTGAACATTCTTCTTACCCCATTTTCAATGGTCAGCTAATTGACAATAAAAATAATAGTAGGAATCAGCAATTGAATACAGAAATAAGAGAACTTCCCAACCAAAAGAAGGGAGGCAAACGAAAATAATACCTGCGTGAGTGATTTGCAGTTAGAAAATTGATGGAGCTGGCATAAGAAGAGACTTCTGGTGAGGCTCTCACACTTGTAACAATGCTTCCTGTCGTTGCATAATTACTGTTCAAATCGAATACCCAGAATCAATAATTTATCACCATATACTTACTTATTATACAGAAAATAAAAACAGGTAAGAGTACCTAAGAAGAGAGAAAGAGGTTAAAGCTGCCATAGATTTTTGGGCTGATATCATTTTCTGCTTCTCTCCGCTGTTTACCTAACTGAAACTGTGAAAGTGAGCACAGTCGCCACTTGGTGAACTGGTGATTTCTGATTATGGGTTTTGTCTACGACCTTATCTGGGCCATTGAATTTTGTGGGCTTCCAATAGTTGCCATTTAGGAATACTTCATATGATCATGTCAATTTGGTGTGGCTCCGATTTTCAATTGAGCCATTGTGTGGTTCTGATTAAAATTTCGTTTTTTACCCACATGGGCATTATCTCCTACAAGGCTACAAGCCGACAACAAAACTCTCAAGATTGAATTTTTGGATTAAAGGAGATACAGAGAGAGGCTAAAATAATGGCCAACCTTTTTCTGCAACCGCCAACTTGTAATTATTTTATTCCTGTTTCCCGTGTTAATAAAGTTGGATTCTTTCTGCTTTGTCTAACATTACTGGTGAGATAGTATCTGCTCAAAGTAATAGCCTTTGGATTACTGATTTGGCATAGGAGGTACTAGTACTATTAGTTTGTGAATTCATCTATTGGTATTTGATTTGATTCTTGTTTGGTTCAATTGATTTGAATGATATAGGGGCTCTGCAATGATAAGATTAGGAGACCCCTAATGCGCACCAGAGCAAATGATCCAAACAAAGTTCAGGAACTCATGGACAGCATTTGAGAAATTGGACTTGAAGTACCTGTAAGCCTTTTTTCCCAGTAAATGCAATGGCTTAAGAGTTCTTTATGTAAATATTTTTTGTACAAATGGAAGCATTGTGTACCAACCATGCGACCCCCATGAGTGAAGCCTGGTTGCCTTCAAAGAATCTAGTTGGATAAACAACCTAGGTACACGACATGACATTTAACATTAAACTTACAGGAAAAAAAAAGAACTGTGTAATAAAAGCTGTGAAGTACATTTACAGATACATTTTACCAAAATTTGTGTGAGCTATCTCTTATTTTATGACCTAATTCCTAGTTATTGACAAGTGGTAGATAATTTAGCTTTGTTATTCCTTCTTGATGGTGACTTGACCAACATACTACTTATATGATATAGGACCAGACCTTGATACAGCAAACCTTGGCAGCGGACCGGGACCTGTGCTTCCTGAAGCCGATCCTTCAGGGTACTTGACTTTACTACAGCTTGAACAGTAATCCGAAGGACCAGACCGGCGAACGTTTCTATGTTTGTTTTCAGTCCCTCGTAGGCTTCCTCCACTTTCAGCATCATAAAGATGCTCTTGGCTGTGTGATGATGATCCTTTAAAGTGAGCTGAATCATTAGCACTATAGTGTGGAATTGAATCTCCACGGGGTTGCCTCATTATAGGCGATGCATGTGCTAATGGTACAGCAGATGAATGGGGTGGTGAAGCACTTAATAATGCCAGTGGCATCAAAGGAGAATTCGTATAGTACTGGCTATATATTGAACGGAGAATAGCATAGGGAACATGGGTCTCAAGACAGCTTCTTGGCAGGTATGGTGAAATGTCACAGAGTTGGTCAAGAAAAATAAGCTTGGCAACGAGATGAGATCTGCACATATTAATGGACAAGCATAAAACACTTTGCATTAGCATTATACCAACAGGATATGCATATGGATGAGATGTCGATATTGGCTTGTAATGGTTCTCTCAAGTTCGACATATAATATAGCTCACGAAATTTATCAAACAAAAAGAAAGAGGAATACTAGAACTACCATCAATATTAGAAATTTTAAACACTAAAACTCAATAGGTCAAATCGGTGATGGTTATGATGTTGACATGTTAAAAATGTTGTTGATAAGATCCATCAAAGAAGATGTGAAATTAACATGAGATTAGATAATATTTCAAAACAGGCTAGGTGGAATTGAAGCAGACTTCAGAAGCATCAGTAAGCGCTAATGCTTCAGCCGTGGTAAGGATAGGTCTCAAGTGGAAATTTTACCATTAAAGGAAAAAAAAGGTATGAAGGGACTCTGAAACATCAGTATCATATATCTGTTAGCTTCGTTCCATGAATCTAGTACAATTACTGCCGAGAATTTAACAAATAGCTGCATTGCAGATTTTATACTAGCTTCTGCTAACAAATGTATATCAGGATCTAAGCCGTCACCATTATCAACATGACCGTTTGACAGCAACTGTCTCTGGTGATGCTCGTGTGCCAATCTAACATGCTCACTTCCAGCTATAACAGCACTGATGCACCTGACAAGTTAAAACAAAATAATTAGCACTCTGGTCAAACATCAGATCTTTAATACACTTCATACAGAAGCAAAGCTTAAATGGGAATGATCAACTGTATAATATAAAGTTTTCTCCTGAATACCTCATCAAGAAACCAGAATTTTAACAAAAAACAACCACAGCTAGTGTGCAAGTCTGGATGTATCACAGGCAAAATAAATGTAGCATCTATATGAGGCTTACCAAGCCTCTAGTTTTAAAAGTTTCAGAGAGTTTTTGAACTATTAAATGATAAACCAGTCAATATTTGTTGGGTCACACATATTAGCTACAAGGCATTCAGTCGTAATGTAACACATCATTGTTCTCTAGAACACTTAACCCAAAAGTATAATTGAAAAAAAAAACAAAAAAGAAAAAAGAAAAGCAGAAAGGACACACACATTGTCAAACAATGAATATTGTTGTTGAAACCACCTGTGTCAACGTTGAAGCCAGTTGTGTTCCAGATAATTAACGTCATGAAGGTGGCAAATAAATAAGGCAACAAGCTCCAGGACCCATCATTTGCACCTCCAACTTCTTCCAAAATTGATCTAACCCACTCAGAGTCATGATCACCAGCAAGAGCAACACTGTTCGCTACCCCCCTCATTCTTCTGATTTCCCTCTTTTCAGGTATTTCTTCAGGTATGTGCTTAACTACCCCACCAAGCAATGAATAAAACAATGGTGCACCTTCATCGAGCACAGCTCCTGCAGCTTCAGCTAAAAGGTTATCAAAAGCCAATGCCTGTCCTGCCTCAATACAAAAACCAATAATTGTGTCCAAATCCACAATTTGCTTTATACAACTTCTCTTTCTATTCTGTCACCAGAATGCATGCTGCCAGCAACTGCTTCTAACAACTCATGATTTGACCGTAATGATGTGTCTATGCAATTCAACAGGGCAGCAGTGTGTTCTTTCATCATTCTATCTAGTCTGTCAACTCCATAACCACCAAAAATACGAACAAATGCCTGCAATTCTCCAAGATCAATGACTGACTCAGCAAAATATCCACCAACTGGCCTCATGCTTTTGAAGCATTTGCGCATGGATGTAAACAGATTTCCAGCACCAGACATATCCTTCACAATGTTTTCCATGTACCAGTTGCACACAACTTCAGTGGCTGATCCGGTATGTTGCTCTGCCTATCTGTTGAATAAATGCAGGGAAGAAACTGGTCCAGAAAAGGTCTCTGAGAGTATAACTTCCCGAATTCCTTGTGTTAGACCCATGCTAATGTGCTGTTCCGCTAGATGAACTATATTCATATGTCTGCGGATCAATGATTCTAGAATAGAAGGCATTTGAAGATCATTATCAATTTTCAGTACTGCAAGTAATCTCCTTTTGAAGTTGCCAAGGACGCATTCCCTCATGTACTGCACGTAAGATGAGAATATTATAATCAATACCCAATGACCTGCTTGGAATATTTGACCACAGTTGACTACATCAAGAAAAAGAAGCAAGATAATCTTACTTTCAACTAATATATCGAATAGTGGCTAAAAAACCCACCTAATAAGTTCAAACACCAATTTATGAAAAAAGTTAGAAGAATATAATAGCCAACTAGGAACCTATCAGTGGAATTGCAAATGAAATAAAAACATATTCTAGGAAACCAACAAGCCAGGCTCACATCTAACTGCTGCTACAAAAATGGACCAGAGACAGATTTAGCAAGACTGACCTCCTTCAGAACAAAGACATGATTTAGAACACACATGCCTATCAGTGGAATTGCAAATGAAATGAAAAAATATTCCAGGAAACCAACAGGCCAGGCTCACATCTAACTGCTGCTAAATAAAAGGGCCAGAGACATAGCAAGACTGACCTCCCTCAGAACAAAGAAATGATTCAGAACACATATAGGCTCCATATCATTCAAAACTGAACACAAATTGGTCAATCTCTGCATTGCAGCCTCCAACCTAGAATAAAACAAGAGTTATGACACTATTAACTGTATCCACTGCAGACAATCTCAGCAAAGGAAAGAAAAAGATTAGGCAAGTGCCTTACATTTTGATCGAATTGTTATTTTCTGGATAACTCTCATGGCCTGGCAAAGGATAATCAACTGCTCCTTTTGGGGATTTTGCTGAAGGAATTGAAACTCTGCATGCGTTATTTAAATAAAATGCTGCCTGCTCTGGAAGAAGCTGAAGTTACTTGAAAAATTAAGTCTATAAAATGGTGATTATCTTCAAGTAGTTTCACTGGAACATATTAAATACCAACCTGCATCTCCAGAGCCCCAAATCCACCTTCAGAATCAAGGATATTAATTAAACCTTCCAATCCTCCCATGATTGATTCAATCAGAGACTCAACATATAGGACTGCATCTCGCCCATTTTTGTCACCTGATTGTGGTAAATAACACGTCAACTTTCCCACTTTCATGTTTCCTTCTAATTAGAGGAAAAAACAAAAGAGTTACTGGAGATTAAGCATTAATACTCTAAAAAAAATATTGGGTCATAAGGCAAAACTTTTCAGAATGGTAAATGCAACAATGTGTAGATTTTTGTGTAATCACTAGAAGGACAGGGGATAAAAGACTATGAAACATGGGCTGTTTCATGCTGCTGGTTTAATTAAATTATTACCTCCTCTGGAACAATTGGAGATGCACACTCTGGAAAACTACTAGCAACACCAAGCCACGCACAGCAGTGCTGTGGAAGCCCCTCTGGTCCAAACATAGTGTTCCTAAAGACCTATTACAACAAGCATACAGAAGTCACTATTGCATGCATGATAATTCAAAAGAATGAACAGGAAAAGAGTTTCAAAGCATACTGCTGTAAGATGCTGGTGGTAGAAATA